TTGAAATAAAAAAATCTAATCAAAATAATAAATAAATGTAAATAATATTAATAATTCCTGGACATATCCTATAGCCTCAAATCAAACAAAAAACACACACTAATGTCTTTATAGAAGTGCAAATCCAAGGACCATAAACTTCCAAAAAAAACAAAACAAAAAGCTGCATAGCACACTTAAATGGCTGATGTCCAGCACTTTTTTTAGTTTGAGATAAGCTTTTGGCTGAAAGCCTTCATCACATTTTCCCCCTTGTTTTCTTGCTTTGGACCACAGTACTTTTTTTTCTTTTTTTTTTTTTTACATATACTTTTCACTGCCTTTTCTTTCAGACATCTATACAGCTGAGTAAAGATATGCAGTGGAAGCCTTTTGCAGATGAGAAAAATTGTGTGAGTAAATTGACTTCCTGCCTCTGCAGCCGTCGCCAGTGGAGAAGCATTCAAATGAAGCAGTTTTTGGCAATATTATGAAATCTAAAAGCCAAGATTTTTACAATAACGGTGAATTCAGGCAGAAACGCAACACAAAAGGCAGTGTCTAAATAGTGAATGTTTTAATGATGTTTCTCTCTCCCAAATGCACCGGGCCAGGGGCACTCTTTATTTGATGGAAATGGATGAGGTCTTATTGCTTTGTACAGAGCTCATAGAGAGATCACTGAAGCAATTCAGTCTCATAAGGGTTTGTCAGTGGGCAATAAACATACATGTATTCACTGCTAAAATGAAATGGCTTGGATTCTGACTGAGTTAGAATCATTCCAAACGAAAACACGCTGCTTAAAACATTTTGACCTTAGCTTAGTGTTGGCTTATTGATTAAGTAATAGGCACCACTTTTTGCATGTTTGGAATCTCAATCTGCTTTATGGGTTTCAGCTTCCTTAAACAACTTTAACCATTCAGAACATGTAATGGTTTGTTTTATTACTCCATTATATTATCACTATAAAGATCTGGTCCAAGAAACGACTCAAGTAAGAGTAAAAAGTTGGGAAAACTTCTAACTAACAAAGATCAATTGTAAAAGTGTAATTATCTGGACATAAATAATGACTTATATGAAAGAAATGTAAGTGGAAGGACAAAACATGAGATAAAGCACAAAATAAACGGACAATGTGCACCTCTTTAGAAAACATGAGTCATAGTCATCATTATTCTCCTGCTGTTCAACAATATTAGAGCGATGTTTTTAGGTCTAAACTCCCATAAATCACAGCTGCTCCCCCTGGTGCACAGATGGAGGTAGGACACATTTATCCTCTATTCCATCCACAGACAAACTGATAAGAGTGATCCGGTAATGACCATCCAGCCCATTTGTTTTCACAGCCAGAGTCCACTATTTTTAGATAGATCCTTTTTCAATAGATTCTTTTCTGAAAGGAGCTGAAGGTATATTAAATGATATTCATAACTTTAACTTTACTAACAGATTATCTCATCATTGATGACTTTTAATTACAAAACTAGTGTGTATTTTGTCTGTAGATTGTTTTGGTTTAGTCCTGGTTTAGTCCTAATTTAGACCTGCATTCGACTTGGTTTAGTGCATCTCTTGTGGAATATTTCGGGGCTACAGGGGTCTACAGAGGTGCTTCAGAACTGACAGGTTGAGGCCTGGGTTAGACCTGGTTTAGTTCTGGTTTAGTCCTGGTTTAGTTCTGGGTTAGACCTGGTTTAGAACTGGTTTTGTCCTGGATTAGACCTGGTTTAGTCCTGGTTTAAGTTTAGTCCTGGTTTACTCCTGGGTTACACCTGATTTAGTCCTGGGTTAGTCATGGTTTAGTTCTGGTTTAGTCCTGGGTTAGTCCTTGGTGAAACCTGGTTTAGTTCTGGGTCAGATCGGGTTTAGTCCTGGGTTAGACCTGGTTTAGCTCTTAGTTAAACCTGGTTTAGTCCTGGTTTAGCCCAGGTTTAATCCTGGATTAGACCTGGTTTAGTCCTGGGTTAGACCTGGTTTAGTTCTTGGTCAGACCTGGTTTATTCCTTAGATAGACCTGGTTTACTCCTGGTTTAGACCTAGTTTAGTTCTGAATTAGACCTGGTTTAGTCCTGGGTTAGACCTGGTTTAGTCTTGGTTTAGTCCTGAGATAGACCTGGTTTAGTCTTGAGTTAGACCTGGTTTAATCCTTGGTCAGACCTGGTTTAGTCCTGGGTTAGACCTGGTTTAATCATTATTTAGTCCTGGGTCAGACCTGGTTTAGTCCTGGGCTAGACCTGGTTTAGTTCTGGTTAAATCCTAGTCCACAGCAGGTCTTGTGGGGTGCATCAGTTGTAGTTGTGTATGCATTTCAGACAGTTAATTATAGCGTCATTTCAGATAGGCCCAAAATGAATTTGTGTTGCACAGAATATAAATGCTATCAGCAGACACTTCTGAAAAGGCTGTTTGACTCTATTGTGTTTTAACATATTTGATCACTGATAAATACTATCTTTTGGTTCATCGGTTTAGTCCGGATCAAGTCCTGGTTTAGTTTTGTTTTGGTTCCAGGTTTAGTCTCAAATCCCCAAGCATGAACACAGCTAAAATCAATCCAAAAACGATAAAGAAACAATTAGCAAATCCAACCTGACTCCCATAAGTGTATGTCTGCACAATCTACAAAGCACACAGCACTTCCGTTTATAATAGCATCATCAAACAAGAGTCTAATCCCAAATCCCTGGACTATATAATCTTCTCCCTGGATTATGAATGTTAAAGTAAACAAATATAATCTTCATTCAGAGTGACTAAACAGAGCCTTCATTAATTAATTGCTGGACTGGTTTAGCAGGTACACAGTCTCCCCCATCAATCAAACGAAATGTCTTCAGTTTGGTACTCATCTCTAGATTTGTCAAAAGTATCGGAAAGCAGATAGGAATCGATATTAAAACTAATACTGAAACTAGATTTGAGAAGGCACTGATGCCAGAAAAAAGCCACATCAACAGGACAGAAATGAAGCTTTCCTGAGTGTCTTTAGAATGACCTTGAGCTGTATCAGAGCAAGTATGAGACCACATAGACTGGTATACATAGACCACCACTAAGGTAATATAAAAGAAAGTACCATTTAATATTGAAAATCAGATCCTATTGTAGAAATAAAGAGTGTCTTGTTTTTTTAATCCAGTATCCAGTCTATTCCTTAGTATCAAAATCGAGTTAAATGAATGAAATTTTTGTATCGTGACAAAGATTTTAACACAAGAAGCAGTGAAGAAGTAGAAGTGGTGCCATCTAGTGCCTCCGCTCAATTCCATTTCTCTCTAGGGACTAGGTCTGGAATCAGAATACAGTAGATGGTTCGCAGAAACCCCAGAAGTGCGAGTCCAGGCACCAGCCAATCAGCAAAGAGCCATATATTCTGTGTTGGCAACGATTCCTGAGATCAAGTATTTAAAACCAGAACAAAAAGAATGTTTGGTGAATTTTATCAAGGGGAAAGACGTTATTACCCTTCTTCCTACGGGATTTGGGAAAAGCTTAATATACCAGTTAGCTCCATTAGCAGCACATTACATACATCATGACCAAATAGCAGAGACTGGTTAAATAAAAAAAGTACCTGTGAAGTAGAACCGGCTGATATCAGACTAGTGAAAAGGTTGGGTTCAATGCATACTTAAGGACAAACTATTAATACTTTTCTTTGTACACTTTTCTCTAATACAGCTCTGCCAATGAAAATATTATTACAGTATGCCAACCACTGATCGAGTATAATATTGCTGCACCACCAGAACTATGTACTCCTGTTTGCAGTATATGAAATGATCCAAACAACTTTTATGAAATCTGCTTTTGAGTATTTCTTCTATCATATTACTATAGAGAATGAGCAGATTCAAATTTGAAAACCAATCAAATAAATATGTATTAGTTCTGCTTGTATGCACAATTGACGTAGCCAGGCTGGTGCAACCTAGTGTCGCCGCTCAATTTAATTTCTCTCCAGCGACTAGGTCAGGAATCAGAAAACACTAGACGGTTTGCAAGAGCTGTGAAATCATGACGTCAAACTCAAGCGCCTGTCTGGGTCCCTTTTGTGGTACAGCACAACAGTAAACAAAGCGGACGAGATGGGCGTAGACAATACAGACTTCGGATTTTTTATTTCACCTAATTCGCAAGATCATCTCGCAGAAACGACTATGACCGTTGACAGACATGTTCACTCTCTGCTTTGCTGTTGTGCTGGCAATTACTTGGACACCCTTGAGCATTCCGGGGCAATACATACATTACGACCAAATAGCAGCGATTGGTTAAATAAAAAATGTACAGAAACGAATCCTATGCTGCGAGGACAGACGGTTTCTACAAAGTGAAACCGGCTGATGAATCAGGCTACAATTCACCCTGACCAAACCTACTATATCTCAAAATCTGAAATCTGGGTCCACTGTTCCTGACAGGTTACCCCAGTGACATAGAAGGATGGGCCAAACACAGAAGACAAATGATGTACAGTATTTTATATGAGAGGAGATGAGATGAGAAGATTGTTGATGCTCCTCAGACTGATTAAAGGGCCCATATTACGTTATTTTCTGATCTATGTTATAATGTTTCCTCATCACAAACATACAAATTAAGACTGGAGTTGTGTTTTGGTTCATTCACACACGTTTAACACACAAACCCTGCACATTTAGACTGAGTTCTTCCCTCAAACTGAAAACACTCCACCTTGTGATGCCAGGTGGTAATACAAGAAGTTCTCCACTGTGTTTTTAAACTCCATACACTTTCACTAGAATCATTTGGATGTACAATATCTCTACTGAATTAAAGTTAAAGGTAGCTGTTAACTTGAAAACCATCACGTTGTCAGCTTTGGAGATGCAGACAGACAAATAAAGGATTACTCAAACTCAAACAAGAACAACTCCAGGTATGTTTTTGAGGAGGTAACAGCATTATAACATGGCTTAAAGCTCACAAGAGTCAATTTTGCGTAATATAGGATCTTTAAATAAATGAAGATTACATAGACTCACCATCGTCCATCACCAGTACTTCTTTCTGGCACATGTCCTGTACGTTGACGGTGCAGTTTACGATGAACTCTGGAGCGGAGCAGTCCTGGGTCATCTCACACTGATAACACTGGATCTGCAGAGACCGCCCTGGAACAAAACCACCAGCACAATGAACTGGTGAACATTTTCCATCTGTTTACATTTGGATTGGACAAAATGGGTTAAAGAGCCTAAATTACACCAGTTTCTGATCTGTTACAATGTTGTTTCCTCATCACAAACATACCTGGAGTTGTGTTTTGTTCCATTCACACATGTTTAACACACAAATCCTGCATATTTTAAGCTAAGTTCTTCTCTCTAACAGAAAACACTCTGTTCTACCTTGTGATGTCATGTGGTAAATCAGGAAGTGTTCCACTGTGCTTTTAAGCTACATGCACCTTCACTAGAATCATCTAGATAATTTTAGCCCAGGAATTGCCAATCTCTACTGAACAAATAGCTGTTAACTTCTACCACTACATGACATCACAAGGTGGAACAGAGCATTTTGAGCTTTGGAGATGTAGACACACTAATAATAAAGGCTTACTGAAGCGTGTGTGAATGAAACAAAACACAACTCCAGGTCTGTTTTTGAAGAGATAACAACGTTTTAACATGGCTTAAAGCAGGGGTGTTAAACTTAAATTAAATAAACTGACCATTGTAAATTGTATTTTAACTTTCAAAATTAGATTAATACAGAACAATGTTGAGTATCGTTTGTGTGTTAAGTTTCAAAAATATATCAATCACACTATAGGTTGAATTAAGGCTATAATATATATATATATATATATATATATATATATATATATATATATATATATATATATATATATATATATATATATATATATATATATAACATTGTTTATTTTGTTTTCAGCACTGCGCTCTCAACAGGAGGTGAGACAGATATTTTAGTAACTGCATCTGAAAATGGCGTGCATTTTCTTATGTTGTCATTCAAAAGCGATCCAAAATCACCAGTGCATGAGACAAAAAGTTTCTAACTGAATTTACCATAATTAAATCTATCCTTAACATTTGTACAAGACAGAATGGGCACCTGCCTGTTGCATAGCTCTTTTTTCTCACATAAAACGCGTACCTCTAATCCAAAAACATAACCAGATCGTATATCTATATCCACGTTGTGCGAAGAGGATTTTAAACTTTACAGAACTAATTCACAGGCTACAGGACTTGTATCAAAATACCATTAACAATACAGACTGCAGGTTGTGGATGTGGCTAACTGCGATGCTCCGTTCACATATTTGTTCATAAAAGTCAGTAAAACGTCACTTGCTGTCTTCAAAATAAAAAAAATCTATCTTTCTATCTTGCTATCGAAGCTTTCTCTGACTCCGAGTATCTCCAAATTCAGGTATAGAGCATTCATTATCTGCGTTTAACCAATTATTACACTTACAGCCTACTCCATTGTTGTGCAAAATCCTCAAAAATTAAATTAAGGATGTCAAATTTACCACAGCGAACAATTTTCTATTCAAATACTACGATTAAGACACGTGTGCACCTCTCCAGACTAAATAAACCGCTGCGTAATCTACCCAAAGTCTTTACGCTACGTCTCCTTTACTTCTAAACACCACGCGCCCTTTGATATATCCATCCATCATGCGAAAAAAATGTTCCGTACTGTACCTGTCCTGGAGCAGAGCAGGAGCAGAGCGGAGAGCGCGAGCAGCCGCATGGTCGTGCAGCGTGCGCCTTCAGCTCCAGCGTGCGCCGCGCGGCAGAGAGTCCGGGGCGCGCGCACGGAGACGGAGGAGCGTGGGGCCGCGTGCCATGGTGAGCCTGCCTGCCACCTCCTCGTGCCTCGACACCTCAGCTCTTAAATAACGACCGAGCGCACGAGAACACACACGCAAGCGCGCACACGCACACACATGTCACCAGCTCTGGCACGTGGTCAGAGAGTGAGTTGGGAAGATTGGAATGTGAGAGAATTCGTGTAATTATTAAAACAAAACAAAAAAAATAAAATAAAAAAAACTGGTGGGTCGGTGCAGCGTCTGCAGTGATGCGGTCGCTGTTTCGGACTGTTGTGGTGAAGAGGGAGCTGAGTCAAAAGGCAAAGCTCTCGATTTACAGGTCAATGTACATTCCTCACCTCACCTATGGTCATGAGCTCTGGGTAATGATCGAAAGGACAAGATCGCAGAGAAAGCAGCCGAAATGAGTTTCCTCTGCAGGGTGTCTGGGCGCTCCCTTAGAGATAGGGTCAGGAGCTCTGTCACACGGGAGGAGCTCGGAGTAGAGCCGCTGCTCCTCCACGTCGAGAAGAGCAGCTGAGGTGGCTCGGGCATCTGTTTCGGATGCCTCCTGGGCACCTCCCTCGGGAGCTGTTCTGGGTATGTCACACCAGAAGGAGGCCCCGGGGAAGACACGCTGGAGGGAATATGTCTCTGGGCCTGGGAACGCCTTGGTGTCCCCCTGGAGGAGCTGGAGGAAGTGTCCCGGGTGAGGGAAGCCGGGGAGTCCCTGCTTAAACAGCTGCTCTCGCGACCCGGTTCCGGATAAGCAGAAGAAAATGGAAAAAAATAAATAAATAAAAAATACTTAGCTATGATCACTAGGCTATCCTGTCCTCCCTGTGCAAACTTGCACACTCAGTGATATATCGTCTGTCCTTGTATGGGACCAATAATCTCACTGTGACCTCTATACTCCATACCTGAGTGTGAATGATAGCCTGCTACTGCAACACCCTAGTTTTGGAGGTGCTCTGACCCAGTTATCTTCTATGGCCATTTTATAGGTCCTTGAAATTTAATCCTTGATGCTTGTGTTTTTATTTGCTCACATCACTTTGAGAAGAAAAGTGAAGTTGCTGCTTTATGTACAGTTAAGTATAGGCCGGTTTTATTCAGTTGTTTTTACGGCACTTGTGGTAAGCCAGGTCAGGTCTTCACACTTTTAAAAACATCTTGAACATTACAGCATTTTGCCAACAAGTCAAATGCTATTAAATAACATTTTGGCTGGCACTGTGCTCCTGCTTGCTGTAGGATTTGATTTCAATATTATGTTCAATATTAATCTGACCAAGCCTATTCTTTGATTAAAAAAGATACTTATCCTCTAGGTATACCAGATAAATCCCAGTCTAAACCTATGAAAGCAGTTTTTGCGTGGTCGTCTGGTGGGAGTTCTGCCATCTGCTTGTCTCCATAGAGCTTTAATTGCTTTCCCTGTAATGTTCCAGAGTATACAATAAAACTTTAAATTCACCTAAATTGCCCTTTTGGGATAAATTAAGTTTTTATTGATTGACTTCAAGGTATTTTATTGCACAAAATTGCCTTGAAAAACATGCATTCTGTGATTCTGTGGGGTCACCTCTCCACAGATCTGACCTGTAGCTTGGCTTAATGGCATTATCTGAGCATCTTCTCAGATATAAGTTTAATGCCGTAGTGTGGAACATTCCAGGCAAAGCAATACCATCTCCAAGCAGGGGACAGACTCTTCACCAGAAAAGTTCCATAGTGCACCTTTAATTCTCTAATAAGAAACAAAAACATTGACCTAATACAAATTGAACAGTGTATTGGCGTGTCTTAATTACAATTATACGGGCTCACAAGAAGCGGCTTAGTGTTTTTTTTTTCACTGTTTAATTAAAAAGCTCTTGTTCACTCGACTAAACGTGACTTTGTTTTCTCCTCACAGCAGTAAACAGTGTCCTTCTCTCAGGTCAGCTCCTCTGCTACAGTTTGTCTAACGCTTAGATCACTGAATCGTCCTCATTCTGCTCAGTGGATCCACGTGAGAACAGTCATTTTGGGTTCTGCAGATGGTCTACGGGTTACATCACGACACACATGCCCCACACGTCCTTGGACTAAACAGAAGTTTTACTGACCTATACTGACAGGGGCTACTCAAACATGTGGTGCTCCAGGTTCCCTCATCAACGCAAAACCTGAACCATCACTAAAATTGTTCAGCTAAGATAGTCCTGACCAAGACTGGCTTAAGTTCTGGAGATGCATGGTCCTCACTTCTCCTCCTTTCAATAAATTCTTAACTTAAATGAGGCAGAACTAAACCCTAAATCCACTTTTCCCCCACTAAACTCTATATATGGTGTTTTAGGTTTTTAGGTTGGCAATTTTGTAGAACAGATTTGCAGTTTTCTGGTCAAAAAAGGTAAAAACTTAATGTGTACTGCCTCCAGTGGTCACAGCAATTTCAAGCACTATGTGACATTACACAGGACTTCCCTGATTACGGCCTGGTGTCTCTGATTATGATCACCAGGAGCTAATTTTGAAATGGAGATACCTGTTGGACACATTGTTCTTATACTCACAGACTCTGCCTCTCCATCTCCTCACTCTTTTCGTGAATCCTCCGCCACCTAGTGCCTCCCCTTAATTTCATTTCTCTCCAGCGACTAGGTCAGGAATCGGAATATATTGGACTTTTTGCAAGAACCCCAGAAGTTGTAGACTGCACACTGGCCAATCAGCGAAGAGCTGTGAAGCCATAACTGGGTCCCTTTTTGTGGTACAGCACAACAGTAAACAAAGCAGTCGAGATGGATGTTGACGAAGCCATAAATTCTGTGTTGGTAACGATTCCCAAGATCAAGGATTTAAAGCTGGAACAAAGAGAATGTTTAGTGAATTTTATCAAGGGGAAAGACGTTATTGCCCTTCTTCCTACGGGATTTGGGAAAAGCTTAATATACCAGTTAGCCCCGTTAGTAGGCATTTCATATGTCACAACCAAATAGCAGCGATTGTTAAATGAAAAAATTGCTGAGCGAGCATGGTTTCCACGAAGTGAAACCGGCTGATGAATCAGGCTAGGTACTGCCCAGTTTAGCAGCTCTATTTGAAATGCGGTTGTGGGAGGAGTGTAGGTGTTTAGTCCCACTTGAACCTGTTGTTGGTTGTGTGTTTCAGGTGTTAGTATCATCTCTGAATGTCTCTCCCCATTCTCTACCCCAATTCTCTCTATCTGTTCTGTACAGTTCTTAACTGCAGGTCCCATGAAATCTTTACACAATTACCTTCACTTGCTCTCATAAAGCTCATGAGTTCCTCATTAGTATGCGCTGGTTAATTTCTTTTCACAAGCGATCACAGACATCCCATGACAGTAAAATCAAGATAGAAGAAGAGCTGGGGACTTGCAAGTCGTGACTTGGACTCGCGTCAGACTTGAGTCACAGCTTTTAGGACTTGAGACTTGACTTGATAAAATGGTCTAAGACTTCAGAATCGACTTGGATTTGAAGGTCCGTGACTTGACAGTTGACTCGGACTTGAGGCCTGTGACTTGAGAAGACTTAATCCTTCTCCTACAAAAAATATATGTTTTTAGAAAATCCTTTTCTCTTTACAGCTGATACATGTGGTGCTTAATTTTAATAGAACAAGCTGGAACATGTCCCTCTCTCTTTTCTATTTGTTACTATGGCAACAGTAACTGAAGTACTGTGATGTGGAATCCTCAAATGTACTACAGTAATATACAGTACAATACAGTAATATACAGTACTATACAATACAGTACAGTATATAGAGTACAATACAGTAAAACAGAGGGAACTACAAAGAACATGATCTTTTCATTTCAGTGCAGACTTCATGACAAAATAACTGTTATTTAGCACTTCTGAATCTGAATTCTTTCTATTCTGACTGTAATGATTCACACTCTTGTCAAGACATTTAAAAAGGAAAAATTAGCATTTCTACAACTCTTATTTAATTAATTAATTTATTTATTAATTTATTTGCGACAGGGACAGCGCACAATTTTTACATTAACCTTAACAGGAGAGATGCATTGTAGCAGGTTGTAGCATCAGTGCTAATTTCCACCTGTCGTCCCTGGGCAGATTCATTGATTGATTGTATTTAACTGACCTTGGCTATCAACTGTTAACTGTTTAAATACTCATATATAAATATACCATGACTTTTTAAGTACAATTTTGTTTAAAATTCATATTTAAAAAAGTGGCAGTTGCTCAGTTGGTAGAGAGTTTGTCCACTGATCTGAAGGTTGACGGTTAGAATCTGGCTCTCAACATAAACATCATTAGTCAAGCAGTCAAATTCACTAACCCACAGGTTGGCTGGTATGATTCCAGCGCCCACAGATAAAGCTGTCATTGTGTCCTTGGGCATAACACTTAAACCTACCTCACCCCCAATGTCTGTGTACACTGGTGTATGAATGTGTGTGTGAATGGGTGAGTGGTTCCTTGTTGTAAAGCGCTTTGAGTGTCTTGAAGGTGGCAAAGCACTTTATAAAAATGTGACCATTTACCATTTAAATTGCAAAAATCTAGGCTATACTTAGATTTAAAGACGTGAAATGACTTGATGCTCAAAGCAGATGACTTGGATTTGACTTGGACTTATGAGCCTGTGATTCAAGATGTGACTTGGACATGCCTGTCTTTGACTTGGGACTTGATTCGGACTTGAGGTGAAAGACTTGAGGCTCACTTGAGACTTGCAAAACTACGACTTAATGCATAATGCATTAGAGGTTATGTGTGAACAGAAAAACTAAGTGCTGTAAAGTTCAGCATTTGGCTCAGAGTTCAGTTGATAAGACCATTGTGGAGCAAGGTACAGAGCCTTTCCACAAACTAATAACTCTGTCAGGGAGAGTTTTGGAGAGGAGGCCACAGACTTCCACACTCACAAGATGGATTAGCTGCTT